GAGATATACCTACACATACGCACTATTATGTTCACTATTAGTGTTTTTGTTGGCCAGTGTAATTGTTATTTTTGTGCGCTCGTTTTAATTGCAATTGTTATGTGCTTTTGTATTTGTACACATTGTGTACGATGCGCTGCTGATGCTATTTTTTTGTTGACTGGCCGAGTGCTCTCCGCGCACCCCTTGCCGTGGCTGTCCGCTTGTCTCTCTATTTGACAGTCTGTTGATCTGGCTACATCTGCCCGCTGGCATCTCTGGTGGGGCTACCACACACATACACGCACATAAATCGCCTGAAAGTGTGCTATGGCGGCATTAAAATTAACGACAGGCCTGCCACTGCAGTGGCTGACTGCAATGATTCTCCTGCTTTATTGTCTGTTATAATTAAATCATTTTATTTTGTGCATTTAACAATTATATGTCACCAGATATGTCAGTCCGTGCGCGTATTCAGTGCGTAAATAATATAATCATTATAATGTTCTTTGTTTGCCGCACACTGTTTAAGGTTCGACTTTTAGGCTTTCTGGCTTTCAGGCTTGCAGGCTTGCAGGATTAACTACGTTTTTAGTCGACCCCTGCCCATCCATCTACATCTACGTCAGTGCCCACTCACAAACTGATGTATGCTTGCATGCGTGTGTGTATGCACAATCTCGCGCATGCCATACGTATGTATATGCAGGCATTAACAAGTACGTAAAAATCATTTATTAAACGAGTCATAAATGTTAATGTGTGTATGCATATACAAATTTAAAACACTCGGATTGCATTTAAAGAGTTGCTCGTTTGTTTTATGTAAGCGATACGCTTTCTGCACAGAAGTATTATCGGTTGACCAAAAACTAGAGCATAAACAAACACAAAAGTAAAAACAAAATTATAAATTGCCTTAATTTCCTGCGAAGATTAAATTCAACTAAATGCAGCTTGCCCCGGCACTTAAAGTGTGATCCCATGTCTAAGTCAACGCTAGGCAGCCACCTGGCACACACAGCTTGAGCCACGTGAGTCCTGAACCGGCAACACCTTTGGAGAGCAGCCAGGGGCGTGGCAGGGGCGGGCGGCAGGGCATTCAAATTGGTGCTTGCGACGCTACCAGCAAGAAAATTATCTTCAACTTTGGTTTACCGTCCACAAGACGAATGAGTGGGTCCAAAACATGTTAAGTGGGCTTTGATCAGGGCAGGGGCTGGGTCCCTTGGACTGACACAGTGGCTGGCTGCCTCTACGCCTCTGGTGCTCCTGGCTCTAGCCTACCACATCGTTGTTTTCTTCATTTTCGGACGAAAAATTTGCACGTACTTAGAGCAAGTGGCAAAGTTTTGGGCATTTTGTAGGCAAGCTGTTTGCTGCCCTCATATTACCCTACTTTGGACACTAATGAAATTACGGTGCTGCTCCAGCTTAGGTACGCTGCCGTATCCTAGGCCCACTCATACCCGAGCCTCTACTCGCCGTTATCTTGAGCGATTACAATCCATCTTTTGTCTACCAGTGGTACGTGTCTGTGTTTTTGTTGTTACTACCACTGGCAGTGCCTCTGCTGCTGCTGCTGCTGCTTCTGCTTCTGCTTCTGTGGGGCTACGGTAGGAATATACTTATGCATGTGTGTGCGTGTACGTAAATGACGCAGCGGCCAGGACTAGACCGAAGCTAAGGTCTAAGTCGACATGAGTTACAGTTGCCAAATTAAACATCACCAGCATAAAATTTATGATAGCAGACATTAAGCCAAGCACTACCTGGGACGTTGCGCACAAACAAATTTCCTTGTTCACCTTTGAGCCATCCGCACTCTTCGCATTACAAGCATACAGAAATATGTATGTGCGCGCAAAAGTATGCCACATATATCAGTAGTTGACATAGATTGTTGAATGCGTGATGGCCAAAATACCGTCACATTACTTTCAGCGTCACTTATTACGAGTTTCAACTTTATTTATTTTCTTTCTTTGTTCCGTGTCATGGGATCCTGGGTGGTAGGTAGTAGGGGAGCAAAGCTAAATTATGACATCGGCCGAATGTACGAAAGGAATTCTATCTCAGCTCTTCAGCTCCATGGCTTCCTTAATATCTTCAGTGCCAGTGTCTTAGTGCTTACTACCACAAAATGTTTAAAAGGAAATCAAGCTAAATCAAGCAGAGCTCACGCCTTCAAAGGTATGATGGGCAATTAGTCAGTCTATTTATTTTCATTTTTATTTTTCACTTTAATTTGTGCCGCCTTGCTGGACAGATAAACAACGATTTCTTGCCAATATCTTCATCGGAATTGTGGGACTGTCAATCTGTCTGGCAGAGACACTTCTCAGGGCTTAAAAGGCGTCTGCATGAGGCGAAAGGCACTGGGCCAAAATGCTTAACGTAATTAAAACTAGTTATACTGTCGGCCGCAGGCTGGCGCATGGTCCCACTTGTATCCTGTGTGGCATGTCCTGTGGCGCAACTAAAATTTGGCGCACGGCGAGGCGGCATCAACGAGCATCCTCTAGATGCCGTACGAAGAGTATATGTGTGTAAGAATGAAGGCAAAAGACGCTGTGGACGGCAATGCACAGCGTCGCGAGAACAATGGAAATTACGAGTTTCAATTTGTAGAAAAATTTATTATATCCATTAACTAAATGGGTTTCGGAATATCTACAGGCGGGGAGCAATGTTGTTGCCACCAACACCGCCCCCATAGCTCCAGCTCCAGCTCTGGCTCCAGCACCATCTCCAGGCCTCCCCCTCCACCTACACCTCCAGCACAGCCACAGCCACAGCCATAGCCACAGCCACAGCCTCAACCACCGCTATTGCCATCCAAGGTGGTGCGTTGTGGTGCGGCCTGTGTAAACACGCATCAACATCAGAAGCCGTTGCAGACACAGCCTAGCCACATGGACCTTCCATGCGGCAGCGCAAAATGTCAAAATTTTTGAATGGCGCTGCTGCAGCTGTGCCATAACTGAGCCCTGACCCTTTACCCCTGTCTGCACGAGGTCGAGTCGCAGGCAACCACAGCGCCCTTAGGTCCCTGCCCCGTCTGCTCCGTCTGTCCCGTCTGCCCCGTCTGTCCCTGCTCGCCCGCTGCTCGCCCGCTGCTGCCCGCTGCTGCTGCTGCTGCTGCTGCTGTCGACTTCCTCGTTCGTATCGTGCCTGCCACTGTGTAGAAGTAAATCATCGACCGCAATATAAACTTTTATGCTTGGCTTATTTGTTTTGTCTGTTTGTTTCACTGCGGCGGTTTTCTTTTTCTTTTTCATGATTTTGTCTTTCTGACAGTCTTTCTGGTCCTCCTTATTTCAGCCTTTGAAGGTCGCCAGTGTCCTGTCGCTCGGTGCTTAATAGCGTTTTGCATGACGACTCCTGCAGCCGACATGCTAATACGTTTTGTGGCCAACATTGCAATCAGCTATGTCCCCTATTCATGCATGTATTTATGTGTGGGTGTCATAGCTGCATCAAGCACAACATCGACTACTCTAAATGGGTTGGCGTAGATTTTCGTCCCAAACTTTCATTATACACTTGCTCGAAATATTTACTCTGCTAGGCGAGATTGCACTGATTCGCAGTAGCACAGTAGCACAGAAGTTATTGCTTGCTGGATCGATCTGGATGTGAAGCGACTCCTTTGGCCCGTTGCACTATGTGGACGAGGCAATGTCTGCACCACTCTTAATAGTAACCTATCAAAATACCATCATGAATATATAGAAATCCTAATTGCTGTAACAACTGTGCTTCGCTGCTACATTCCACTTCAATTTCAATAAACCGCAAGATGTCACGCGTTGAGAGCAGCCCCCTTGAAGGTTCTGTCCCCAACGCTGCGTCGTGGTCGGCGTCTTGGCTGGCTGTCTGGCTGTCTGGCAGGCTGACTGGCTGGCTGGCTGGCTGGGTGCATAAAGCTTTATCGATACATTTGCACAATTTAATTTAACCGCGACTTTATTGCTTTTCGCGCTGGCTTTGGTGCAGCCGTGCCGATGCCTTTTGATCTCGCCATCTCATTAATATGCGTGACAACAGAATCAGTTTGAGTTTAGATAATTTAGACTTTATCTGCGCTAGGCAAACTCGAAACAGGGCAAGCAGAAGTTCGGCTCTGGGAGCAGTAAAAGTAAAATCAGAATCAACAACAACAGCAGTAGCAGCACAACGAGAACAACAGCATCGGCATTGACAACAACAACAACAGCAACAACAATAGCAGCGGAAACATCAACATCAACATCAAAATCAACCGACTTCAGTTGGCAGAAGGACAAAAACAAAATAAAAGATTGCCAGTTGATTTTAAATGAAAACACACGTGGCTCACAGCTTTCGGCTTACAGTTACAATCTCAGCAATCCAGAATCGTCTGAACGGTCTGAACAGCTGCTGAAAATAAAGTTTCGCCCTCTGATTGAGGCGAATGTTCGTGGTCCTGCCAGCCTGCCAGCCAGCCTGCCTGCCGTTGCCATTTCAATAAGGCAGTGCTTAAGATTTTCAATTTTCGTTTGTAATCAGCAGCTTGTATTTGTTGTAGCCATCCAACGCGCTGCACAGACACACACACACCCGCACCCACACCTATACCCACACACCAGCAACTACCGAACCACAGGTGTGACAAAAGTCACTGCAAAGGTGAAGCTCGAAAATGCAAATGTTGCCCATACGCCACGTTGTCGTTGTTTGAATTTTAATTTTCGGCGCCACCAACTTACACTGCAATTGCGATGGCAGCAGCAGCAACAGCAGCAGCAGCGGCAGCAGCAGCATCCATTTCACATTTCCCATTTCGCATCTCGCATCTCGCATTCGCACACTCAAAGTCATGTTCGCCGCCTGCTCATTGCAAAATAATTTGCATAAGCTGCGCTCCGCTCTGCTCAGCTCTGTGGCGCTGCTTGAAATTGTGTTTATTCCCTTATCCCTTTTGGAACTTGCAGCTTTCGCTTTGCGATCTTTTTTGTTTGCTTGTCGCCCAACAATTGAAGTGTAATTTGTAAGTTTCTTTGGCCTTCGATGCGGAGAATGATTCTGCCCCAATGGGAGACGCAATTAACAGCGCCGGATCAAGGGTCGACGGACGAGGGACGAGGGACGAGGGACGAAAGCGGAGAGCCTGGAGCAGGTTACGCGAGGCTAGTTAAACCAATTGCTGTTGGCAAAACGAAGGATATTAGGTCTTGTTTTCGAACGGATGCTCGTCGGTTTAGTGGAATCGATTATAACGACTTTGCACTTTAGCTCTTATTTCGTGAAGTTAATTGGAGTGAGTGTGGCATCAGTTTGTGTGCATTTTTTTCTCTTTTCACCTAGTTGCACCTGGTCGCAGGTCACAGATCATAGGTCGGAGGCTGTTCGATTGCAGCAATCCAACTTGTTTGTCGTCTAACGGTTGACAGATGGCAAACGCATGTCCTGCACAGGCAGGTCAATCGTGCTAAGCCTCACATCCAATGTGACTCCGACTTAAATATTTATTGAATGTGCCACAGGAGAGAGCCCCGGATTTGGGAATGGGTGCTGACACTGTCGCCGCTAAGTGCTGCCACAGACTCTGGCAAAGGCAAGGCAACGCCGAGAGGGCGGAGCAGGGCACGGCAAGGCAAGTCAAGGCAAAGCAAGGCAGCAGACATAATCATGGCACAATTGAGAAGGCAAACAACACGTGCTGAATGTTCTTAAATATTTTTTTTCTTTTTTTGTACTCTGAATGCATTGAATATGGAGAGAGAGAGTATTATGTTTTTATTAAATTGTATGTAACAGACAGAATACAGCTGAGGGAGCCCACATAATCAACAAGAGCCAAGTCCGAATGTCCGACTGCCCAGCGGTCCGCATGCTCGACCTCTCAGTGAAGACCTCTAAAAGTCGATTGATTGAAAGACCTGCTCAGTCTGAAGTTGAGCGTATTTCGTAGTCGGTCAGCGCTAACTATTGTAGTTCTTTTTTTCCTTGCACAAGTGTAGCATGGAATCGCCATGGATATAGATATTAGATAAGTAGGAGCAACAGATACAGCTGCGAACGTGTATGCTGGGCGTCAGTAAACGTCTACAAATTGCTGCAGACGGGTTGGCTTAGACTGAACGTCGACAACTGTTGCCATTGTAGTGTAGCTGCTTGCCTGTGTGTATATGAGGAGCGCTGGGTGGCAGGAGCCGGATGACGGGGGCTCGCAAATGAACCTTGAAAAGTCATCATTGATACAGCTCTGGCTGGGCGACAGTCAACCAACGCGTCGGCCGTCTCGACTTTCCGGCTGGAGGTTGGCATATAGTAGAGCAATGTATACACATCACGTACGCGCCCACTCCATGCCGTGGATGGCCACACAACCCATTACGTTTTCACACAGAGAGAGACATGCAGACAGTTGTCTCAGTGGCAATGTTTACTTTTTGCCGTCTGTTCGGCTCTGCCGCGTGCGGCGTCTTATTGGGTTTTACCCAAAACCCATTTAATAATCTCATTTTGCCACAATAACAGAAAATATGATTTTCGTTCGCAATCACAATCTGAAGCGCCGGGGCCACGGCCACTGCCAGCGCAAGGGACACATCTATACATACATATATATGAATGTGTATACATAAGGTTGGGTGCGGAGATATGTATGGGGACCTAGCGATTGCGAAGGAGAGTGGGACTGGCAATGGGAATGGGAATGGGAATGGGAATGGGAATGGTGGCCTGAGCGGTAAGTTCAACAAGTAATTGAATACGTACGTGCTGAGCATTTTCAATAATGAAAATTTTCCTGCCATTATTTATTGCGTGTTATCCTTTTTATGAATCCTATTAGTAGAATTACTTTTGGATTATACCTATTGTACAACTGGCTGTCATGCCGATGGACCGCTCACGAGCCACGGACTGTTCTACGATGAGGCTTCAATAATGTGATATATGTGTGTGTGTCCGGAGTAACGCTTATTCAGCGATGCTCGACGAATATTCGCATTCGTAATTCCGCGTGCAAATATTCGCATGACTGCTTGCTTTGCTTTCACAGCTTTCGTCGATGATTTGGCCGGACTCACAACGATGTCACGAGCATATGATTGATGCCACAGGCTTGCTTTTCTTTCCAGGCACATTGGCCAGGCCGCAGGTGCGTCGAAAGCCGCCAAATTAGCTGGCTAATTAGTGCGACATAAGTGCTCGTCCCGCCTATGAGACCTGAGGATTCGGCATGCGCACAGATAAACAGGCTAAGTAGTTTGGCATAGGGATTCTCTATCGTGGCGCATGATGCCTGCTGCTCCTTTTGTTGGCAAGCCATTTGAGTAGCTAGCAAATTGCCAGACGAGAGCACAATTCATACTTATTTATGTAACTCTCATTTCGCTCAATTTTATGGTAGATCTAATTAATTTGTTTTTAATTCAATTTAAGTTAATGCCTTGAATGAAACGAGTGCCAGCGGTTCCAGCTGGCTCTTACTCTAGCTGCTAGCTCGCGGCCTCCTTCCTCCCATCCATCTTCGGCTTCCTCTTCGCACAGCGTGGCTCGCGCTCTTGCTCCCATGCTCGCCCATTCCCATTCTCTCATGCTCCTATACTCCCATGCTCCATGCATCATCTTGTGGAGGAGTCTTTGTTGTTGCTTTTCGCTTTGCAGAGCAGCTTTCCGCATTTACTCGAATAAAATGGCGCACATTTACGCTGTTTATTGGCCTTAATGCCGGCTTGCAAACGAAATTTACATTTTAAAACAGTTTGCTGTGCTTTCTACTCCTTTATCCCTCCTTCGCGGCACTCGCTCGCCATTTGTTTCAACATTTTCATTGGATTTAAGTGGAAATTCATGTGTACAAAAATTTGCGGCAGTAATTTACGGTCAATGAGCTCTGCAAAAGTTATTCATACGCAGCTGCTTCTGTGGAAGTGGATATTACAATCGCCGTTGCTTTCCCTTTTCATTGTTTTTTTATGCTCCCTGCCTCAGCGCTGGCCTCTGGCCTGCCCTAGCAGGGATTGGCCTGACCGTGGCCGACTAATACCCGAATTACCCCTGCCATTCACTTATGGCCATTAATTAATCGATCTTTCGACCGCCGACTTAATGCGCTGCGTGCATTGCGTTTTCATTGCATTTTAGAGCTTTAATCGGCTAAAATACCAGTTTATCGATTTTCCAGCATCGCCTTTCAATGGCCGGCCTCCTGCAAAATTAATAGAATGCATCAGCCTCAGCTTAATACAACCACAGCCGCAGCAACAGCCACAGCCGCTGCCACTTCTTTGCCCAACGCCATAGCCATCGTCATCGTCATCGTCAGAATCAGAGTCAGAGTCAGAGTCAGCGTCAGAGTCGCCTGTGGCCAGGTCTCAACTCAGGGTAAACACATTTACCCATGCATTCATTAATACGACAAATATTTGCGTTGCCAAACGCCGCCAAGAAGAGTTGGACATTTTGAGTAAATAGAATTAACAACAAAAACTGACGAGCCTGCGTGTCGCGTACAAGGTCGGCCAGACCCGGGCCCTCTAAAGCACTAATTTTAAAAACTGGGTCGCTTTCGCTGTCCCTTATTAACTGCCCGCTAACTGGCCAAATGCGCGTGTGACTGCAAAAAGGACGAGGAACTAAAACATGACATTCGCGACTTTGCCGGCTATGACAAAATGCTCTTGATACTGGTTCACAAAGCCGAATGAGCATATTGGCCTTTTACAATAGCAAATACTTTACTTACTTACTCACATTTTTGTGCAACATCCAATGGTCTGCCTGCTGATCAGATATATGAAATATCAAACATTCAGAAACAATTTATTGTATAAGCTCAAAGCATATATAATATAGATACAGCCATATATTTGCTATACAGCTAGAACTATTGAAGATACCAACTGATTCCTGTTTATGTCGACCCAAGAGTGCAAATCTGATGATAGTTTGGATAATATATAGTGTGTAGATAAGTAAGTGATAGTGAGTTACCTCCAGTAAACAGTTACTCTGAAATTTGTTTTCATATTAAAAACGTAAATCTAGTATTTCATAGATTGGGCCGATTTGAGACCATGGGCGGGTATGATGCAACCGGCTGCTAAGTTATTTTCTTGCTGTCCTTTCATAATTTTAGTGCGTGAGTGAGCAAGCAAGACAGAGAGGGAGATAGACAGAGTATGAGCGTAAAAGAGTTAGTCGTCTGAGGTCGGGCGTCGCTCACAATGCGTGTAAGAAAGCGAAAAAGACAGAGAGAGTGAGAGAGAGAGAGAGAGAGAGAGAAAGAGAGAGAGATAGATAGAGAGAGAGTATGAGATTGAAAGAGTTAGCAGTCTGAAGTTGGGCGTCGCGCACAATGCGTGTATTTGTCTTTCACCGCCCATGTCAAAGGGCAGCCCCCCACCCCTCACACATACATACAATGCTGCCTGCTGCCTGTTGACTGCTGACTGCTGACTGTCGGCTGCATTCATGTTGCATTACTGCTGCTATGCTATAGGCGTTGACTTATTGGTCTGCCGCACAGAAAGCTCCACATACAAGCGGCGATGCGCGCGTGTGTGCACAGGCTCAGCCATTTACATAGCAACGAGAGGACACGGGCATATGGGCGTTGGTGACCCACACACTGCAGCTCTGCTCAGTGCATACCAGTGATCGACTAGCCCATGGATAATCCGTTTATTAATTAGCCAGCGATCGTGCACCACTCCCAGAGCAATGCAGCTGGATTAATTGTATTTGTATTGCCTCCGACTGCTCGTCTGTTCCGCAGAATGCGAAGCAGTTGCCAGTGTTCCCGGTGGTCCGCACACTTTAAAGCGTCATTTATGTGTATTTCTCTGTATATATTGGCGTGGTATACAATATGAAAAAAATGCCAAATAANAGTTGCTGTTGTTGTTGTTTTAATGCCAAGCACAAACGAGGGCAGGTAGTTTCTTTAACGGTATGCGGATGTTGTTGCTTTTATTGCGCAGTTTGGCGTTCCTGCCGCTGCCGCTGCCGCTGCCGTTGCTGCTGCTGCTGCTGCTGTTATCGTTGTTGTCTTCATTCATCAGAATGGAACCTTGAATAATTAAAAGCAGTTTCTGATTACCTACCACATCGTTATACGCTCACAATCACAATCTATATACACCAACACACTCCCACACACACACACACGCACACACACACACACACACACACACACACACACACACACACACACACACACACACACACACACACACACACACACACACACACACACACACACACATAGCTACAAATATTTCAACTCACATAGATACTCACACACACAGATATATATGTATATACGTGAATGCACGTAACGGAAGGAGGCTGCTCTTCTGTTGTGTGCGTGTCTCTAATTAAACGGCAAACAGGATTCGAGTTGAGTTGAAAGCGCAACGAAACAGGAAACGGAAGCCAGTCGCCATGCAAACGGCCAACCTACGCACACACTCACCGCACATGCACATGGCCATGATTGCGTTTGTTGACGATGGCTAAGCAGGCATAGCCATGGCGTCCAGTGCAACAGTCGCTGTGACCCCCGCAATGTCAGTTCTTCTTGTTCTTGTTGTTGCTGTTGCTGTTGCTGCTACAGTTGCTTTTGTTGTTTGTGTTGTGGCAATTTACGCCCAGCTCATTTTGCCATCATTGTAAGCTTGTCTACACATTTTAATATCTTTTTTTTTTTTTTTTTTTTTTTTTGCATTGGGGTTTTTTTTATCACCTGCCAAAGCAATGTCAAACGCCCCTTCTGTTTGTCTTTCGATGGTTCCTCATTGTTACATAAACATTGGTCAACAGGCCACAAATTACGT